GATTTTTGACTGAGTAACTTTTACTTGTAGTGGAGTAGATTTGACCATGGGTATCAATACTTTTACTCAAGTACTAGAGTTGAGTACTTTGTCCACCACTGAGAGGGACAAGACAGTGTGAGCATATTACCCCCATTTTACGCTCTCTTCACTGGCTGCCTGTTCCTTTTAGGCTTGATTTTAAAGTTCTACTTTTGGTTTTTCAATGTTTAAACCGTTTGGCACCTCCTTATCTGTCTGATGTTATACATCACTACCATCCCGGTAGAGCTCTGAGATCTGAAGATCAGATGTTCTTGGTGGTTCCCAGGATCGGCTGGTGACTAAAGGGGACAGAGCCTTCTCAGCCATAGCTCCTAAACTCAGGAACAAGCTTCCTCCCTCTGTGAGGTCTGCCAGGTCACTTGATGATTTTAAATGTCTTTTAAAGACTTATTTTTTCTTTGGCTTTTAATTCTAGAGAGCACATGCAGTAGGCCAGTTTTATACGTTTTATTTATTTTTTTGCTCTTTCTACTTACCAAAGTGTTTACTTGATTTTATCTGATTGTATTTTTATTCTGTTGTGCAGCACTTTGGTTGCCGTTGGCTGTTAAAAGTGCTATACAAATAAAGTTTTGATTGATTGAAATTTAACCTGACTATCCCTTTAATTCCTTAAATTTTGACACATTTGTTTCACTGAAACTAATGGTTGCATTAGTGAAAATACTGCTTAAGAGTTACCACAGGTCACTTTTCCATCACTTGCAAGTAAAACCCTGTTTTCTTATATATTTCATTTTTGCCACTATGGGTCTACTTTCGATTTAATGCCAGTGTGTCATTGATATAATATTACAGAGCGATGCATTGTAGCTTTATGATCCAGCCCCAGGTGAAACTAATAGAGAGGAGCTGAATGATAATAACACCCATTGTGTATTGATGTGAAACAAACAGCAGAGTAGTGGAAAGTACCTGATCTACCTGCTTACCAGTTTGAGAAACCGCCAACACTGCCTCTCCCATTACATCACCGAAAATCAAGTCAGCTCTGCAGATTGTTTGAAAACGGTATGTCAGCGCTTTGGCTTTTCTTTGTTCTTTATCACAGAAATTTAAAAATAATATAATCTGCAGGGCTGTACAGAGTGGTTCCCTGCAGCAGCTGAGAATGATGGGACTTTTAAGGCAGTATCATTGATCGAGCTCGGACATAAAGTCAAAAATCTTTAATGCCTAAAAAGAAATAAACATAGTCCTCAACAAAAAAAAAAAAACCTCAACAGGCCACTCATTGACTTATCAGATTAAAGCATGCCGTCAAGACACATTCCAGAAAGTTCTGCTGGGATAAAAACTACAACCGTTGCCAAAACTGTGGCGTAGTACACAGCTGACATGGTCACCACAGCAACTTTTATTATGGCTACAACACACAACAAATATAAAGAATGACCTTCTTTCCTTTTAAATTTCAGTGTGCTTCTTCAAACTGTTCTTTCTTTGAAATGTTTTTAAACTATCTGAAGCCCTTTTTTTATATTCTCACTCATACCCTTGTAAGTGTTTTGCCTAAAGACATTTTGGCACGCTGCACGGTGCGAGGGAATCAAACCTCAAATATTCTGACTCAAAGAAGACCACCCTGCCACACCCTTTGCTCAGTAAAACTGAAAGTAAAGTCAAACTGAAAGTAAAACCCCACACATCACCACCAAGGGTTAACCAAACAAACTGTTTGGCAGACGGGCCTGTTACATAAAACGAGAGGCAAAACAGGAAAGTACCAAGAGATTTATTTCTATTGAGCAACACCCATAAAAACAAACAATTCATTACTTGACATGAAACTCCTGATATTTTTTGAAAATGCTAAATTATGGAAATTAAAGGCTGAACACACACACNATATTCATAAAGGAGACTTTAAGTAATTTTTTGGTAAGATACTTGTACTTTTACTCAAGTATCACTCTGTGGGATTTTACTAAAACTGGGTTRGGAACTGTCCAGTGTGTTTCTAATGTTTTAATGATGCCATAAAGCAAAATAAAAACATAAACCAGTGAGAATCATTGTTTCAGACACTTGTTTTTCACAGACTGAACGGTTATTTGACCATTTGCTTCTGTCGACTCAAACAGGAAGGACTTCAGTCTTTTGTTTAGTCCCGACCCGTTTACGGAGGAGGTTTTACTGCCTGTCGGACTCTTTGACCCATGATGAGAGAGCGAAGAGAACCAACACAAAACTGTTCAGGCTGATGAAAACACACTTTTCTCCCTTCCTCTTTCTCCATTCATAATCCCAAATCAGTTGAAAATAATTATTTACAACAGTTAGACATCACTAAAATGTACAGTTTTTCATACGAACGTCTTTTTTTCACACAACGTTTCTGAGTGAAAGCAGAAAAGGAGAAGAGCATTTTTCTGAGGCGCATCATGTTGTCTTAGTCACCGTGTTGTGAAACAACTGATGCTGGTCGTACTGGGAAAACGAGCTGGGACTTTTCATCATATGTCACCAGAATTATTGATGCAACTGTGTAGAAAAATAAATCCTGACGCCACAAACGTCTCTGATGAAATGTTTCCTGCCTGTCCAGATGAAGAATACTCAAACACTGTGGATGATGTTTGGAACAGTTTATAAAACCTGATTTTATTAGGAGAGATGTCATTTATCTCACTTTATCTGGACTAAAACGTCTAATTAATTTATCCTCTGAAGGCATGTGACGTGTTGGAACAGAGCTGTGCTTCTGTTTCTGATGAAATACATCAAGAAATCAACACAAAATGAGACCATTAATTTATATCTGTAAAAATACTTTTATTTTAACAAATCCCCTCCTTCCTCTTAATAAAACTGATAGGATTTATTCAACATAAGATCTGTCTCATCTAAATATTTYAATTAAATGTTAACAATTTCATACCTGCTTCTTATTTGTACAAGACAGAAGTTTGTGCTACGTTTCATTTTATTTGTGTTGGATTATTGTTTGTTGTGTGTGTGACATTTGATTTGTTTTTAAATCAAATTAATAAAAGTTTCTCCTTTAGAACAAACTGTTTTAACACTTATTTCCTTCCAGTACACAGTACACAGTACACAGTACACAGTACACAGTACACAGTACAGTACAGTACAGTGTGACACCTTGGAATATAAGATGTGTGTTTAAATACCAAAGAAAACCAGTGTTGTATAAAGTACCTCAAAGTGATACTTGAGTAAAAGTACAAGTATCTTATCATTAAATACTTTGGTAAAAGTTAAAGTTAAAATATTACTTGAGTAAAAGTCTTAAAGTATCTGATATTTTAAAAGTAAAWTTCTGACACAAAATCTACTTAAAACGTAACTTTACTTAACTAAACTTAATACTTGTTTAACAAAGTAAAACTATTAATAATATTGAATAACTCAGGAGAAGGTTCCTGCAGATGGACAGAAAACTAAAAAGCATGAGCCATGTTTGTACAGTGAGCAGTAAAGTGTAAATCCTCAGCAGCAGTTTGCTGCAGCTTCACTTTAATTTCATGTGACGCAGCTTTGATCACGTCTTTGTTACAACGTTCACTCTGAGATTACACAACACCTAATCCAGGTCATCCATCTTTTGTCTTTTTCTTTGTGCCCCTAAGCCTCAGTGTGCCACACACACACACACACACACACACACACACACACACACACACACACACACACACTCATGATAATACACATAATCCAGAAAATAAATCAAGAACTTGGGTCAGACTGATACTGAACTGCAGGGTGATTAYTATTTAGAATGCAAAATATACAAAATTTGGCTAATTATGATAGCCTTGGTTGTTTTGTGTGCAAATAGTTTACATCAGTGCATACTTTACAACTATTGGCTAATACAAATTATCTTAAACAAAATAAAAACTTACCCCGGAGCAAATCCATACTGTCAAGAATGTCTCTTATTCCATTGTCGCAGGATGTTGACCTGAATTCATCTTCTCTAATCCCCTCCGCCAAGCAACAAGTGTTGGAGTGAAAATATTCATCTGTTTTAGTGTCCTGAGAAGCACCAGAAGAAAGCAGATGCCTAAAAGTAGTTTTTGGTATTGCAGAAAATGATCTACTGAATGCATCTGTTAAGCTGGACAGGTTATCCAATACGTCTGCTGTCTTGTTATCCTGCCAGAAAACATCGGACCGGCTCTCTTGAATGCAGGTACTGCTGTTTGTTCCCGTGCCTGAACAGGCTTCAACAGGTGAAACRTTTCCTGCTGCTCCGGCGACTCTAAACAGACTGGTGTTCAGTTCAGCCAGGTCGACTGTTGAGAAATTATTCCCTTTCTGTTCGGCTCTATCTGAAGAGATGGTCTCTGACAACTCAGAGTCATCGGTGCTTGCATCGAGCATCCTGCAAGCAGTTGCAAGATCGGTTTCCTCTTCCACATCCCAATCAGGGTGGAAGGCTTCTCTGTCCGACACCACGTCGTCTCTCATTGAAGAGAACATCGTCTCCAGAGGAATCATTGCCTGCAACATCTGTTGTCCTTGTTCATAGTCCTTCCATAGAGGAATGTTTACTGCAGCTGCTTCTTCTACATGCTCTAACCACTCCTCCTGGTTTCCAAAATTCCCTCTATGCACACTTTCACTATCACTTATGGGCTTCTGTATTGGTTCTGTACTGCTCTGCGGTTCTGCTTTTCTGTCACTGAGTCTGAGGCTGAAGTGAAAGTCATTTGCCTCAGAGGTAATTCTGTCCTCCACCAGACCATCCAGCAGAACCTGGACCTCGGCAGGAGAAGCCCAGGCCAAAACAGACCGCACCTGTTCCAACACCTCCGAAAATTGAGCCATAGTGACGAGGACTGCTCCCAAAGCATCCAGATCTGGTACAAGAGACGCCGTCTGATCATGATGATTGAAATGCATTTAAATTTATATATACACACACATA